TAAAACAGCGTCTGGGCGTGTTAAACCTTGGTTGTAAAACTTTTAGCCAATCCTAGTCGAAGGTGTCAATTTCAGTACAATGTTATTTCACGTTTGACAAATCATAGGATGATAAGGAAAGCATGTGACGAAACATTGTTCTCTGGATTTGACAATATGAATGTGGATGGTGCTTATTATAGTAATTGCCATTTTATGTAAAGGTTGTATTTAGTATTGGCCAGTAGTGCTTTTCTATAAGCATTTGAAAACTTGCTTCTGGAAAAAACTGCATGGGATGTATGTGACTTTTATTATTTTTACATAGTAGCTTAAGTCATGCTGCATCGTATATCTATTTATATTATTCGTTATATTGAAAAATTAACTCAAAATAGATATATTTTTAGAAAAGAAGTTGATCCACGATTATTAGGGTTAAGAGCTATCGAGTGGTGAGTGCAAGGTCTTTCCATGAATTAGGCTTAGCACTTTGAACTGAAAGAGTTTGTGATTTTTTATATTCTTTTGCATTTAAATTTGTAGATTTAAGTTCAATAATTTAGCATAATTTTATATTTAGTTCATAATAATAATAATATGATTCAGTATTTAGAATAATAAACTTGTGATTTGTACATAATACTACTAGTACCAGTACCACATAATAATTTTATATTTTTCCTTCTTACAATCTTTACTTTGTAGTAAGACCCACACTTCTGTTGTTATTGCTTTAGAATTAATACAGTCTAACTGATATATATAAAGTTCATTCTGATATTTTGCAAATGGTTTAAAACTCAGTGTACGAGTGACAACAATAAAACCCATATGTTGGTTGTGAAACAGACTAAATACATTTGTCTCAATTACACAGGGAAGCTATGCCATTATCACAGTTGGGGTCTCAATACACTGAAGAGCTTAAGTTTCGAATTCCAACATAAATCTTGCCTATAATGAGAGGAATGTGACCAGGACTAATCTTTTAAGTGCTATAAAGTATTTTCTTTGTAATTTATGGTGTCTGTATCGTTTGGTAATCTCTTCTAATAGAATGTATCAAGTAACTAGGGTCAGACGGCATTATTCAAACCACCTGTACTGTAAACTGTTACATACATTCGCTAGTAGTAGCAATTAGTTTTGTCTCTATAATGAAACAACATACACAGACATATGTTGAAATAAACTTGTTTGAAAGTTCAAAGAAATGATATTCAAGTACCAAAAAGCTTTCTTACTATCATATCTACAGTAATGTTGAAATGTGCCTGTGCTGGACTGAACGAGAGTGACCACCAACGGGCATGATAGTGTATGGCAAATGTACAAATTTCACGCTGCTAACCTCATGATTTATTCAGCACAGTAAACAAAAGTATGGCTGCCATGCAACATAAACATAAACTTGAAATAAATATACATTTATGAAACAAAATTAAAATGTTTTTATGTACATATTTAAACCCGAAATCCTAGTTAAAAGTAAAAATACTCATTTATTGTTCAGGTTTATTTACAAGTATTATTTTTGGGTCTTGTATATTACTTGAAACCATAAGGAGAGTAAGTGATTAATAAAAAATTAAAAATAGATAAAATTTGCACTGTATGGACGATACATTTTTGGGGGATTTCAAAATAATGTACTAAAACATAAAAAGTAATAAGTTCAAATCTGGAACAAATATAAATATAAATACCATTTTCTATTGAAATTTGACAATATATTAAAGATTATAATGCAAAATAACTAAATTTATCAAAAGTAACAGTCTTTATGTTTCTTAAACTACATGCATTTATGAAAGTTCTTATGAAGTTTTAAACAATTTCATCCACTAGTTTTATTGTTGGAATGAGATATAGCAAGATTTGCATTAGCTACTCAGAAAGTTAGTAGCCGATGGTCATTGGGTTAATTGAAACTTGTTTTTTTAATTTAAAATATAACATAAACATCAACATTTTATGTTTTAAAGGACTCAGATATAAAACTACACACTTGAATATAATAATAAGTTACAAAAAAATATTTAAAAAATGTATATTATATTACTATATTACACACTTTCACAAACAAAGAGTCCATACCACATAAAGAAAAATACAAGACCTGAACTAAAAGAAGAACAAATCATCTGGGCTCCAGCTCTATTTCGCTCTGTGAACTTGAGAGGTTTAGGGCTACAGTATGAAGAAAAAGAGGTAATTTCATTAAAATTCTATAAGTAACATACATTAATATGAAATAAAAATATATTATTTCCTTCAGTACATAACTGTATTGTGTTTAGCTATTTTCAACACGTTTGTATTGTAATTACAAAAATGAAACCAACTCAAAACATTCTGAGTATAAATGTACAAAGACATTTATATTAATGAAGCAAATTAATGATACAACAGATACAAAGAAATTTTGCTATGGGTTAAGCCTACTTAGTTCTGGTTAATAAGTTAAAGTTTTTCTAAGAGATATTCTTTAAAGAATTTTTAAAATTGGAATAATTACTGCATCTTCAAAGATATAATAATAATAAAAAACACCCTCCTTAACGTTTCATAACATATTAAAATATCTCATGTATGATTTGTCAAGTTGATCAAAAATGTTTTTAAGCCTTATCAAAATAACTATTGCTCCTCAAGATTAAAAAAATTAAACATTAGAAGGGAAACATCAAATGATTTTCTAAAATATGAACACAAAAAAAGAATAATAGTCTCTGTGATTGTGTATGGCACTTATATGTACCTGACAAAATCGCAGACATTGAAAGGCAGATTTTTCACAGTGATATTTAAGGTTTATAATTATATTACAAAAATCAAGACTTTCTACAAAAGCTCTTTGAGAACTGATTTTATCACAAAATAATTACTGCCCAGTATCTGAAAAAACATTCCATTGAAAATACTTGTGTAACTGTACATGCTTATAAATCTTATTGTGAGATTTTGCAGTTGTTTATTTATTTTACACAAATGGACTGGTATTCATTTCTTACACCTTAAACAAACTGTATCCAGAAAGAAGTTTTTAAGGATAAGTTTGATAACCATGTGGCAAAAATTAATAAGGTAACTACTACTTCTTTAAAATGCTTTACTAATGGCATTATAAGTAACCCAACCAACCAGATAAAATTCAGACTAACAGAAAATATTTTACAACATCAACCATGCAATACATAATTTTTTTTCTTCAAAAAAAAAAGAAAGTTGAATTATACCAAGCCTCATTTTGAAATATACTGACTCAAATAATTAGTGTTTTTTTGGTGATGTTACTGTTACTCAATGTACCAATGTTGTGCTGTGGTATTATCTTTTGTACATCACAGTTGCTAACAACCAACCATCCCTCCATCCCCAATATATTACAAGTGCACAATCTCCAGCAGGAGTCTATCTGTTGATGTCATAAAGAGTTTTTGCTTCTGAATGGGTAGTCCAAATCATATGTACAGAAAATAAAGAAGAAACATAACTGCAAGGAAAATGTGTTAAGTTTGATAATTTGGGAATGATTAAACTGCATTACTAAACTTCAAATTATGATAATAACAACCTTGATGATTTGTTTGAAAAAGATATGTGTAAAGATATTTTAGTTGATCTAATTGGTGTATTTAATGAAAATGAAAAAATATGGTAATGTGTAAATGTCATGAATGGAACAATCCAGTTATTTTTTATATTTTGAATAATATGGTCTAAATCTATTTATTTTTTCTTGTCTCATACAGGACTCAATAGGCTTAAGTAACGTGTACCAGTATTACTCTTGACTAGTCTATGCTGACATACTTTGAACCATACCACTGCTGGTAAAGTTTTGCAAATACCATGTGTTTTGACAGTTAGGCTACAAATACAGCAAACATTGAAATATAAGTTTTATTACATTCAGTCAGTCGGACTATAATTAATATAATATGTAAGAAGTAAAAAATCTGCATTTTTCTGTAAACTACTTGAAGGTTCACTGCTACTTCATAAAATATATTATTATAAAATTGAGCAAAACAAAGGAAATCACACATTTCACAAATATTTTATTTATTACTACCTGTTTTTGCCCACAAAGGCATCACCAGGATGTGGTAGTGGTAAATGAAATATTTGTGAAACATACAGTTGTCTTTGTTTTCCTAAATTCTGTAATTATGGAGTTCCACCAACTACAGACAATTGCAAGTATTAATTATATAAACAGGTTACTACATGTGTACTTGGAAAACTTTTAAGTCTGAGTATTTGTTATTCAAATGAAAACATGTGACTGTGTGTGGAATCTTCAGTAGGATTCTGCAATATGCATTACTGTTATACGTATAATATAATATTATTCATAGTTTACTTTGAGGTCTAGATTGCCAAGAATTATTTGTAATATAATCATGTATTTACAGGTAATGGTATAGTGAATACAATCAACAGAAAGTAATAATAAGCAAAAAATTTTTCATAAGAATAGTATTAAACAAGTTATTCCATTTAATTAAGAACAATTGTTTTTGTTCAAGTTTGAAGTCTGTATACATAACATATGGTACCCACAAAAGTTAACATTTTCTTACAGTGAAAATGTATTTCAATAGGTACTTACCTCCTCTCACACAAAAGCTATCTTAATCATTGTCTGCCCTCTAAGCATTGCTAAAATATTTTTTAGTAATCAGCACACCAGTCTTTATATCCTACAAGTTTCGTGCCATTTCTGAACATGTACATATTGTGTGACTGCTTTCCACTAACAGTATTGCACCACCTATAATGGTGCAGCTATTTCCCTCTGTTATTTCTACTCAATCTTCACTTTCAAGAATTGGCAGGTACTAGAATAAAAACACCAGTTTTAGTGGGAAAGAAGGGTGGGAAGTGTGTGAGAAAGTAAGTACCAATTGGAAATACATTTTCAGTGAAAGACAATGTTGACTTCTAAAAGAGATTTACCTCCCTCACACAAAAGCTAGAATCACACATTGCAAAAGTAGAGGGCCAGTGTAGGCACACAAAGAACAAACCAAGCAGAAAGTGACTGTCCAAAATGAATGGGTGTGCTTGGGGATGAAAATGAAGCACACCTGTGGGGTACAGCACTACTTCTGGAACAGGTATGCTCTTTGCCCAGAAATGAGAAAAGAAACACCAAATGAGTGGAAAAGGTTTGTGTTATTGATACCCAAACAACTGTAAGTAAACAGAGCACTGTATATCAAGCAACTGGAATTTTGACGAGGAAGTGAGCAACGACCATAACCGAACAAACTCCCAAAACCACTGTGGGAGCAAGAAGTATGACAAACTGAACCCATCATTACCGGGTTTTGGCATTGCCTCGACTTAGCTGTAAGAACAGGGAGAGCTGTAAGCAGTATTACAGAGAGGGCAGAGACATTCTGTATCCAGAATTATGAGGGGGACATGGAACTATTGCCCACCTGTAAAAACAGAGCGTGGACGTCCCATTGCCAGTATTATGAGGCAAAGAAAGTCTCTCAACCAAACTGTAGAAGCAGGAAAGAACCATCTACAACTGGAATTAATGAGAAGAGAGGCATCTACTGCACATAACTGTAGAAACAGGGCACTGTCATCCTGAACCTGAGAGGAGGTCAGAACAGACTTCCCCTTGTCATAAGGAAACCAACCTGTTCTGCATCTTGTAGGAGCAGAGGAGTGTGGACTCTGCACTGAGAACAGGAGGAATTAAGCAGGAGTCAGTCAAAACAGAGAAATAAGAATGCAAGACTCATAGAGTGAAAAAGTCTGGCAAAAAGTTTGTATTCCCTGACAGAAAATGTGAAGAGCTGTCTAGGATCACGAATGTAGGAAAAGGAACCAAAGATAAGCTCAGCCCTACGATGGAAAAGAAATGAACACGTCAGTGAGGTAACAAGTAAAAATTTTAAGTCCCACACCAGAGAAGGTTAGGAAGGGATGGCACAATTGAACATTCATGAAAAATTCAGATATAACAATGAACAGATATAACTAGTAGTAACGATATATAACATACCAACTATCGAAACATAACAAGTAAACAAAGGACTAATAAACATCAAATGAGCAAAATATCAACATTTTTCTAGTCCATAGAGAATATAAAAATAACAAACATCCCAAATGACAAAAATTACTGAGAAAAAACAATAATAAGCAATATCACAGAGAAAGTAACCTAGATGACAAGGACACAGAATTAACATTTCAAGACGAGTGATGAGTGAAAGGCCATGTCATTTCGTTGTGACTTGCATTCA